ACTCCTCCATCTTCATCATCAGCTACCCCTGCGGCACTCTCTATCTCTGACCCTCACCTATCCAGAGTTAGGTCAGAGCTCACAAGTTAGAAGAACAGCATCCTTCAGACCGCCAAATAGCAGATGTCAGCCACAGGTTTGGAGAGTCCACATGACACACTAGCCTTCTGGCCACAAATTCAGGGCTAGTTTCCACTATTCCTTGAGAATGCTGACCACAAGCTCAGAGTCTATATAAAACGCTTACTTTCTAACCTGTTGGCTCCCACTACTCCTTTGGGTTCAATAATTTGCTGGAATGATTTGCAAAACAATAGAGAGCATATCATACTTAATTTACTCACTGCTGTCGAGTCAATCCCGACTCGCAGTAACCCCAACTTGGGTTTCCAAGTAGGTATTTCTACGAAAGTAGATTGCCCAATCTTCCTTCTGAGAAGTGGCTGGTGGGTTTGAACCACCAGCCTTTTGGTTAGCAGTCAAATGCCTTAGGCACTATGCCACCAGAGCTCCCACCACAGATGTATTATACCCAAAAAAGATACAAACGAAGAGATGCATAGGGTGATGTCTGGGAGGGTTCCCAATGCAAAGCATCTATATCCTACTGGACACACTCTTCTGCTGAGAACAGATGTTCTTGTTAGCCAGGAAGCTCTCTGAGTCTTAAGTGTTCAGGGCTTTTACAGCTAATCCTTCACGACAGGCTAAACCATGTCTCCTAAGGCTAGATGGTAGCACAGTACCTAAGGCATCTGACTGCTAACCAGAAGACTGGCGGTTCAAACCCATCAGCCAATCCTCAGAAGGAAGGTTGGGCAATCTACTTTCGTAGTGATACCGCCTCGGAAACCCAAGGAGGGGTCATTACGAGTAGGGGTTGACTTGACAGCAGTGAGTTTGGTTTTGGTTTGGAAGGCTAGATGATATTGGCCTTCCAGGTAAGTCTTTTCTGGTCTGGTCAGCCTCTTCTTGCCATCACAAATTTTCAGGTGTGGCCTGGAGGTCTCAGATCAGCGTACTCAATTTCAAAGCACTGGGTGATGTGGTCCTTGAAGGCAGGTTCACTATCATATACCCCATCACCCTCAAGAGCTCCAAGTTAGCATGCACACCAAAAAAAAAAAAAAAAGGAAACAAAACTGCTTACTGTTCACAAAAGAAATTCAAATACCTTCATCAGAAGCTGGAAGCCAGCCTTGTGTTTTCATTTTCCCTACACTTCATCAATGTTCTCCTCTTCTAACAGCAAGAGTAAGTTTTTACTTGAAATGCTAGTGTCTGTCAAAAAGCAATTACTAGAAAATAAAAAAGAGTATAGATGCATAATATGAACAATAATAATAACAAAAAATAACCTGCAGAAAAACAAATCCAATTGCTAAATACATCAGGCAGTCAGAACTGGGAAATAATAAACACAATAAAAGGTCAACATGAAGAAAAACATCCCAACTAAAATTAAATCTCCTTTTCATAGGGGAATTTAGTTATTTTGATATAATTTTCAAAAAAGATTGCTATCTAAACTTGCTATTTCAATTTAAAGACACAGTCAAGTAAAAATATTTCTGTGAAGCATTCTTTAACAAATTATTCCGGACAAACTGTATGTACCTCAAAAATAAATAAAAAATAGAAGGTTCTATTGCTGATGGTAAAGCTATTCAATTTTGAACTCTTCCTCAATGCAGTTACTTGGCTTGAAATCTAACAGTTGGGTAAAAAAAAGGGAGATTTTGTTCCATTTTTAGCAAAGGTGTTAATAGCAGCATTTCGAGGAATTTTCTTTTGCAATGGTGTTAGAGCAGCAGCCCGAGAAAGTTGTAAAGTGTTTAACAAGCTCCTCCTGGTAAAGAAAACTAAATAAACTAAATGAGAAAGTGCCATATCCCTTCCAGGATACTTCCTAGCTCAGGTGAAGTTTCTTGTTCATAAGTATTTGAAAACTCTCTTATGAAAGAAAAATAATGATAACTTTTGCAACTAAATATTTCTTTCTGAAAAAAGAAAAATGTGTTTCAGAAAGGAAAAATAAAAAAATATATAGTGCATATTGTTGTTGTTGTTGTTATGTGCCGTCAAGTCGGCCTCCTTGGGTTTCCGAGGCAGTATCACTATGGAAGTAGGATTGCCCAACCTTCCTTCCGAGGAGTGGCTGGTGGGTTTGAACCGCCAGCCTTCTGGTTAGCAGTCAAGTGCTTTAGCCACTATGCTACCAGAGCTCCTATAGTGCATATATAATAAAATAAAATAAATCTTTGAGATTACCACAGAAGTGGTACCATCAATATCACACATAATTTTCTTCTCCTTCAAAATGTTACTTTGATCTCAAAAGTAATATATTTTTCCCTTTGATTTCTGTATACACACATATATTTTATTCTTAAAATGGGGTCAAATGATACATGTCTTTTAACCAAATGTATAATGTACATCTAAATAGATTTTTATTTATTTATTTATTTTTAGTATTAGAAAACATTGCAAGTGATGTTCATTCATTTGTGATTCTCTAACTAATAATTTCAAAACTTTTGTTATCATTTTTATAAACTGGTATGTCTTAGAAAAGTGTAATTATAAAAGAACAAAATACATCTACAGATAATGAGAATATTAAGGGATGAAACTGTAAAAAATAAAAAGGAAGAACAAAGAATCATATTTTTTAAAGTAGATGTTAATGGAAAGCAGTAAAATGGATGGGGCTACAAGTTCAAAAGAATTACACTAAAATAAAAACCAAACCAAACTCACTATCATTGAGTTGATTCCAACTCACAGAGACCTCCATTCGGTTTCCAAGGCGGTAAATCTTTACAGAGATTGCCCCATCTTCCTTCTGCTGAGAGGCTGGTGAGTTTGAACCGCCAACCTTCTAGTTAGCAGTCCAATGTCTTAGGCACTATGCCAAATATTAATAAATAATTATTTAAAAATATGAATTCTTGGTATTTCATTATAAGATAACACAAAAATACAGACCAAGTAGGTTTACAATATACCTTTTTGGAGTTTTCAATTAATACACTTATAAACTGAAAAATAACTATCTAGAATTTGAAATAAGAGTTAGCAAGCTTTTTGAAATCATATTTAAGTGAAATATTTCTACTCAAAAGAAGGCCAGAAATGGGTATTAACAGAAATTTTCACTATGAGCAATCTAATGATGGGTTAGCCTCCTCACTTTAGCTTGTTAATATTAGAGAAAAATGTCCAAAAGATACCATAAAAGTAAATTAAAAAATAATTGTTTCATTGTTCTAATCAAAAATTTCTATATTTTAATAAACACTAGCTCAAGTTATTCCTTTTAAGATTTACTTTTAATATTCATTTTACATTTTCTTAAAATTTCTACTTCCATAGTGATACCGCCACGGAAACCCAAGGAGGGGTTGCTATGAGTGGGGTCCAACTTGAGGGCACATAACAAGATTATCGTATTTCTCGAAATTTCATATTTTAAATTTATCTTTTCAATATAAACTGTTTAAATGATTGGTAAACATATGCTAGCCTAGTCATAAACCCCAAAACGAAACTCAGTGACATCGAGTCAATTCCCACTCATAGTGACCCCCACTGGGTTTCCAAGGATACAAATCTTTATGGAAGCAGATTGCCTCATCTTTCTTCCCAGTTTGAACCAATAACCTTTTGGTTAGCAGCCAAATGCCTTAACCACTATACTACCAGAGATCCTTATACTTTAGGCATAGTTTTTTGAAACACAATTTTAATTTTTAATTTTTTTTTCTGATCCCTGTAATGAGGCAAGGTATATAATCCTTGGCTAAAATCTAGGAATAAACTAATAATAGCAATGCATCATTCCACAAGAAGGAAAAGCTGACTACAGTATGTTAATGAAATGAATGATAGTTTCTTAATGGCTTTTATTACAATACATATAAATGGGAAAATAATTACCTAAGATTTAAATAAGATTTTGCAAGCTTTCTGAAATATTAATTAAAAGAAAAATAGTACTCAAAACCAAATATGATACTCAAATGCAACACTGTTAGACTCTTCTACCATGACCAATTGATCCAATTTGATGTGAAATTCTCATCTGAGTAGTATATACATGCTTAACATTCATCTTCTCCCAAAACTTTATCACTGAATTTAAAAAAAAAAAAAAAAACAAGCAAACTTTGTCCAAAATGTTTTCTGGTGATTTTTAATAGCAATTATCGCATCACAAATCATTCATAAATATTTTAAACTTACGTAAGGCTATAAGGATTTTTATTAAGGATTGTTAAATATACCCTCACACAGAAGAGAGCAAAAAGTAGTGTAGAAATACACTGCTCATACACCTCTTCTGAAGGAATCTTATGTCCTCAACTGTCCAGGATCTTGTAATATTTCCCAAGTATTAGGTATTTCTCTTCTGTTCCCAAACTATGCATCTATCTCCCTCATCTTCAAAAACAATAACAAAAAAGGCTCACATGCCTTGTTGCTCCTTACAGTTATCTGTGCTAGTCTTTTCTTAGAGTCACACAAGTGTTCTTCATTTACTTCATCCGTTTCACCTACTCACACTATCTCCTTCAATGATAATAATAAATTACAGCTCATATATGATTGCTTAATATGGCTCTCTACCACCCATCTGTAAGTTTGTCATACTGTGGTGGCATGCCTGTTGCTGTGATAGAAGCTATGACATCGGTACTTCAAAAATCAGCAGAGTCACCCATGGTGGACAGGTTTCAGCAGAACTTCCAGACTAAGACAGGCCAGAAAGAAGGACCTGGAGATCTACATCTACTCCTCAGTTATCAACTATCTTGTTATAGGACATTTTGCATTTACAATAACTTTGAAAAAGTTCTCAGGCAAGCCTCCAATAGTCCAGGCTCCATGTAGTGCTATGGTCAGCCTGGAGCATCCTCCATGGACCACCTGGAATGATACACTGGAAGCCCTAACAACGACTGGGCCACATGAGGGTACAGCAGCCAACAACTCACAAGACTCCACCTCCAATTTGTTTGTGATGTCTAGGTCCGGCCACAGAGGGTGCAGGGAGGATACAAGGTTGCAAGTGGGCATGGGGAGTCCAAATGAGGGCCTGAAAATGTCAGGGAGGTCAGTGGGGAGGGAAGTGGAAAGGCATAGAGGGGGAAGGGGGCTGCAAAGGGCTGTAGGGCTAATAGAGTATGAGTGAAGTCCCCACCCAGGACAGGCACTGGCAGGTGGCAGACAAACCTGACCACAACTACCACCCCAACCACCACAGGCTCTGTGGTGATGGGGATGAGGGGGTGGGGAAAGGGGCCCACTGCACCACATGTATCCCTAGAAGAGCCAGGGGTGCCTGATGGGCTGTAGGTGACAAGGGAATAGGGGAAGACAGCAGTGTCAAAGACAGGCATGGCCCCTATGTCTCACCGATTCCATATAACAACTTGGTTTCTGGAACCTAACCATGTTAATAGGTAAGGAGTGAGTATACTTCTAAAAAAAAAATGGCCACGGAGTCCTAAGATGGTGTCCTACCAACAGACCATGCCAGATCCCTCTTCAATGGAGATTTAAAGACAATCAGTAAAACAGATACAAATAATAATCCTGGAATTATGAACATCTAATGAGAAGATAAGCTCTGGTAGCATAGTGCCTAAGACATTTGATTGCTAACCAGAAGGCTGGTGGTTCAAACCCACCAGCCACTCCTCAGAAGGAAGATGGGGCAATCTACTTCCATAGTGATACTGCCTCGGAAACCCAAGGAGGGGTCACTGTGAGTCAGTCCAACTGACAGCACATAACAACAACAACAACAATGAGAAGATATAAAGTATTAAAGTATTAGATTGAGTGAACACAGGAAAGAGACCGAGGTCAGTGACTGGGGGGGGGGGGGGGGCCAGAGCCCGCCAAGCCCAAACAGAAGCAATTAGAAACACAAAGGTGATCAAAGAGAAGGGAAAAAAAAACAACTTCACAGAACCCATAGGCAATAAAGACACAGGGCAGACAGATCAGGAGGATTTCAAGGTGACCTAAAGCCACGCTTGTGTTAGAGGATTGTATAGGGAAACGTGCAGACCTCTCCTGTAGTTTCAGCTGCTGCTGAGTTCAGGAAGGAGTAAGGGAAAGGGAAGAAACTCTCCCCGAATAAACCAAACCCCAAATCAGGCCCATGACAGTGGATTCCAGTCCAACTCTTTGCAACCCTTTTTGGCACGAAGTGAAACTTCCTCCTGGGGTTTCAGAACCTGTGAATCTTTGTGGATGACAGCCACCCTTTCTCCTGCAGGATGGGTGGTGGGTTTGAATTGCAGGGCTTTGACTGATGGCCCAACACCACCATTAGCAAACCACTCCAAAGGACAGGGGCTGCAGCTGTCCTCTCACGCCTGTGTCACTGGCTGATCTATTTCACACTAAGCACAAAAAACAAGCATTAACCTTCTCTCCTGGAGGTGACTTCTTGTACCAATTTCCTTTCACCTATGTGGGTGCACACATGAATGAGCAGATTCTGCCACAACTGCCTGCTCCCAGGGTCAATGGCTGACCACACCTAGAAAAGACCCTCCTCAATTACCTTATCCTCCCTTTATTTTTCTACTTTCCTTTTCCCAAAATTTTTTTTTTCTATCTGATCATTTACCCTTTTAACTCTCTTCTTCTTTCATTTTTACCAAATCTTCATCCCTCTCACCCAACTTTTGTTTATCCTCTTTTTCTTAAATTCTTTTTCCTGTTCCCCTTCTTCTAATCTTCTGTTTTTATTCTATCTTTTCATCTTTTCCATCTCTTCTCCTCCTTGGTTTTCTTTTTTCCTGCCTCATTAAATGAGAGGATCACATTAACTCTCCACTAGTCAGCCATATCTACTACCCAGAACACCTCACCCAACAGACAGTCAAATACCTTCAGGAGCTCTGGTGGCATAGTGCCTAAGGCATTTGACTGCTAACCAGAAGGCTGGCAGTTTAAACCCACCAGCCACTCCTCAGAAGGAAGGTAGGGCAATCTACTTCCGTAGTGATACTGCCTCGGAAACCCAAAGAGGAATCGCTATGAGTCAAAATTGATTCAGCAGCAGTGAGAGAGAGATGTATATGTATATATACCCCCCCCAAAAAAAAAACCTCACTGTCATTGGGTCAATTCTGACTCATAGTGATCCCCAATGGGCTTCCAAGACTAAATCTTTATGGAAGTAGATCTCTGTCTTCCTTCTGCAGAGCAGCTGGTGGGTTTGAACCGCTGACCTTCTGGTTAGCAGCCAAGTGTCTTATCCACTATGCCACCAGAGTTCCTTATACGTATATATATGTATATGTATACATGTGTATGTATATATGTACGTATATTATATATATACCAAAACCAATCTCACTGCCGTCAAGTCAGTTCCAACTCATAGTGACCCCTCCTTGAGTTTCTGAGGTGGTATCTCTACAGAAATAGATTGCTCAGTCTTATTTCTGAGGAGTGGCTGGTGGGCTTGAACCATCAGCTTTCTGGTTAGCAGTCAAATGCCTTAGGCACTAAACCACCAGAGCTCCTATATCATATATACACAGATATATATGTATATATGCATATGTGTACATATATGTATGTCTGTGTGTGTGTATATAAGTGTGCGTGTGTATGTGTGCCACGTGTGTACATATGTGTGTATACATATATGTGTGTGTATATGTGTATATATGTGTGTGAGTACATATACATCCCTGTGTATATATGTGTGTATGTATGTGTGTGTCTAGAGATACATATGTGTGTGTCTATTGGTAGTATGTATGTGTATATAGGTATGCATGTATGTATGTGTATATGTGTGTAATGCATATATGTGTATATATATACATGTGTGTGTATATGTGTGTGTGTGTGTATCTATCTATCTATCTATGACCTTCCAAGAGCTCAAGGAAAACATAAACAGAAGCAAGGAAAAGATAGACATTAACCTTGAAGAATTTAGGAAAATTATTTAAGAGCAATATTATAAAATAAATAGAAAATTAGAAATCATACAAAAACAATGATTTGAAATCTAAATGAACACTAAAATTATGAAGATAGATAATACATTGGAAGGACAAAAGACTATACTCAAACTGGCTAAAGAACATATTTCAAACCAAGAAGACAAATCTCAAGAAGGAATCTTGAGAGCAGCTTGGGAAAAACTAAATGTTACCTATAACACGCAATGAGTAAGACTAACTAAGCTCTGACTTCTCAGCAGAAATGATGCAGGCAAGAAGGCAATGAGATGGCATATACAAAACTTTGAAGGAAAGGAATTGCCAAGTAAGAATTATATATCCAACCAAAGTGTACCTCAAATAGGAGGGTGAACTTAAGATATTCCCAGACAAAACAGAAATTCAGGGAATGTGTGAAAACCAGACCAACCCTACAAGGGAGTCCTTCCAACAGAAAACACACAATAGAAAACAACAAATTAAAATCAAGACACTTGATACCACCACCTACATACCAACCCAGAGAAAGAATCTCAAAAACAAAATAAGGTCACCAAAAGTGTAAACAGAGAAATAAAGGTGTCAATCCATAAACCACACAAACAACAACAACAACAACAAAAAAAAAAAAAAAACAGAGGGATTAAATGTTACAATTACAAAGCTTGCAAATAGAGAGGAAGTCAGGACATTGTCTATATAGAACAAACTGTCCCAAACTTAGGGAGATAAGAATTTACTACAGGGTAACCACAAAGAAAATTAACAAACCTTCTAACCAAATTAAGAAAGAAGGAAATCACAAGAGCTTAGTAAACACAAAACCAACAATAATGAAGAAAAGAGAAAAAATATTTGATAACAAAATGAACTCAGCACAGGAAAATATCTGTATCAAAGAAACCACCACCAACACAACAAAAAACAGAAAAGAATGACAGCATAAATTCATACCTATCATTAACTGCACTAAATGTGAACGGATTAAATGCACCAGTCAAAAGAAAGAGAATGGCAGATGGGTAAGAAAAGAAGACCCATCAGTATGTTGCCTACAAAAGACCCAACTTAGACACAAAGATAAAAATAAATGAAAAGTCAAGGGCTGGAAAAAATATATCAAGCTAATGGCAACCAAAAAAGAGCAAGAGTGGTAATATTAGTTTCTGGTAAGACTTCAAAACAAGCACAAGGGATAAAGAAGGGTATTGTATGATTTTCAAAGGGATAATTGACCAAGAGGACATTACCACAATAAATATTTATACACCCAATGAAAGAGCTCCAAAATACATAAAGCAAAAAACACTGAATAGAAAGGAAAAATAGGTAATTCTATAATAGCAGTAGGGGACTTTAACACACTGCTTTCAAGGAAGGACAGAACAACTAGAAAAACACTCAACAAAGATACAGATGATTTCAACAATAGAATCAACCACTACACCTCATATACATACACAGTACTCCACACAACAAAAGCATAATGCACATTCTTCTCCAGTGCACATGAATCATTCTCCAGAATAGACTATATGTTAGGCCAAAAAACAAGCTTCAGTAAATTTTAAAAATTATTAATTCATTATTTAAATTATTTATTTATATAAATAATATAATTAATATATCACTGAAATATTACAAAGTATCTTCTTGGACCACAATGCTGTAAAATTAGAAATCAAAAAAGGAAGAAAATCAAATACATGGAAACTGAATAATAAGTTGCTCAAGAATGAATGGGTAACAGACGAAATAATGTGTGGAAAAAAAAAAAAAAAATCCTAGAAAGAAATGAGAATGAAAATACAACTTACCAAAACCTTTGGGACACAGCAAAAGCAATACTCAAGAGGTCAATTTATAGCAATAAATGCACACATCAAAAAAGAAGAATCAAAATCAACAGCTTTACTCAACAACTCCAACAATTAGAAAAAGTGCAACAAAAAAAACCTACAGTATCCAGAAGAAAGGAAATAATAAAGATCAGAGCAGAAATAAATAAAGCAGAGAAAAAAAAAAAAGTAAGAGAAAAAGAACAAGACTAGAAGCTGGTTATTCTAAAAGATTAACCAAATCAACAAACCACTGGCAAATTTAGCAATGGAAAAGAAAGAGAAGCTGCAAATAACATGAATAATGAATGAAACAACTGAATGAACAGAATCAACTGAAATAAAAAAAGATAGTAAGAGAGTATTATGAAGAATTGTACTCCAACAAATTTGAAAGCCTAAAAGAGATGGAAAAAAATTCTGGAAACATAAGACTTACCTAAACTAACACAGTCTGAGATGAACACTTGAACAGATCCATAACAAAAGAAGAAATTGAAGAGGTCATAAAAAAAAACTCCCCACAAAAAAAAGTCCTTGCCCAGAGGGCTTCACTGGATAATTCTATCAAACATTCAGAGA